AGTTGGATACGGGAGGGAGGAGTGGTGGTGCTTTTCGTATTCATGGTCGTCGCGGTAACCTTGGATGCAGTGGAGTTGGTTGGTAGGTGGAGGGTGTTTGCTGGAGGATTTGTCTTATAGTGCGACAGTTTGAAGCCTGTTCCTAGTCTTGGCAGGTACTAGTGTCACACCTGACCTGCCGGTTGCCTAAAGCGGTTCTGATTACTAAGTCAGATTTCAGCCGCCCGGCTAGATCCCTTCCACAGCTCCAAACCGGGTCTGAAATGTGTCCGTATTTTTACATAACTCTCCTACCGCCCTATATTCCCTGCAGAATTTCTCCACTGCCAGATATTTTTTGAGTTCTTACCAAATATTTTGCTTATCGCCGGAGTCTTGCCATTCAGTACGCCCAATAACACTCTGGCAGCTCGGTCTAACCTGTGGCCGAGCGAGTATGCAAAGATCATAAAACTCAAGTTGTTGCTGCATATGAGCATAATTAAAATTCCTTACAGGGGATAACCATACTGTGCCATAGAAGGAATAAGTTATGCCTTGATCTGATCACGCGATAGGAAGTTCCTCATACGGACCCATACCTTTAGTAGAAAGAGAGGGGATAAAATACTGCAGAGCGACCCAAAAGACCTTAAGTACACGATGTATCGTTACGCTTACTCGCTCCCAGTTAGTTGTCCAGTACCGGCTAGCAGGGATGTAGCGGTCCCGGGAAAGTGGCTTGAGCACGAGCACCTGACAAAGGAGAATTTTCGTGCAAACCACTTCTATGATCCGAACACTGTTGTCGGTAAGATAGTACCGTGAGCCGAAAAAATTGAGTAAACGTCGGCGCTCGAGGTCTCGAGGAGGGCGGAGGTAGTCCAATTATATACAACGCAATATATCTCAAAGACTCGACTTGATAACCCCTTAACCGATAAGAAATTATATCCTCCTTTTGTCCTCATGTATCGGCCCCGCGACAAAGCATTCAGAGCAGGCCAGAAGAAATGAATTGGTGAAGCCGGTGAAGCAGGAGGAGCGAGAGTGGACAAGGGGACGAAACAAGCAAAGCAACAAAGGGAAGGACAAAGAAGGCGATGGGGGAAAGAGCTGACAAGCTAACAAAGGACTCGAGGAGGAAAGGGACAAGAAAGAAGACGAAGCAACAGATATCATGATGAAAGTGATAAAGGAACAAAGAAGGAAATTTGTTGGAACTGAAAGTAAAACTCGAATCAACAACTGTCTGACTTCATCAAACTTTCAGACTAAAGGTACTCGCAGCTAATTCCGCAAATGAATCGTGAGAGATGACGCCTGTAACTGTAGATGGTGGCGAGACCTCCCAGGACTGCTTGGGAAGATACTGGGGATATATCCATCTATCTCTAATAGCACAAATGACCAAATCATTTGCGGCATCCCATATCACTGGGTTTGTTCTTACTCCGTCAGATGCAACCGCATGTGAAATTATGGTAGGTGGGGTAAATTCGCCGATGAAAACGCGCCTAAGGTTAGATTTCGTTAGTCTCCATTTGATCAAGCACCGACTCTCTTCCCAACTTGATTCGTCAAATGATACCCCCACCAGTACGACGATTTCCGCGATACTAGGGACGATTAGACACCCCCGCCACACTATTACTCCAACAATCATCCCCCAGATTAAACATGTCTCATGTCGCCGGACACCTTCTTGCCCGCGGACTGTATCTCGGCGGTCTGCTGGGCCAGGGGCCATCTGAAAGCGGCGCGAGACATCCGCCACGATTGTATAAAGCGGGTATTTTACAGCGCTGGATACAACATGCTGAATTACCCATTATTCTTCCATTCGCTTTGTTAGCATTCACTCTGGAAGGGAGATTGAAGGTTTCGGGAGTCGTTTGTCTCTTACCAGTTATAAATATCAACGCATGCCCAAAGTGTGCGCGCTTGGATGTCTACGATATAATCTCTACAAAAACAGCAAAACACGACTATGCGATTGGATAAGTAACATATTCCACTCGCTCCAAACCAAGTGAGAGAAAACGTAAATACCCCCTTCCACCGCAAAAATGCCGGAGAATAAAGGGGCACGCCTTTTGAGTGGGGAAGGTCGAAGCTTTGGCGAAATGTTCGGTGAATGAAAAAGAGTAAGGACCTGTTCGGCATGTCGACCATATTTTTTTTAAGATCACAAAACCTCTCAGAAACATATATGTTAAAAGGGAAGAAGAGTGTTCGGTATAGGCATGATATACAAAATTTAAGAGCTCGTGCTTTGATGTTTTTTCCACAGCCGTAGGACTGATACCATTAGCCGGTTAGTCATATACATTATTCGCTGCTATCGAAGGAAAGAAACAATGAAAAGCCGGATTTATGAAGAAAAAAAAATTCGAACCCGAACCCTCAGTACTCATACCAGAAAATACGAGACATGCAAGAGAGGAATGCGGGATAAAAGATATGGCATTCCCTTTGGCTGCACGGAACACCCCCGCAATAGTTCAATGGTATGATATCATACGACGGAATTTATTCCGTAGAAACGGCTTCGGTGGCACAAATCCATATCCGACCCCACATCACCATATCCAAGACCAGCAATCCATGATGAGCCCTTTGCTGCCGGAATAACTCGTGAAATCCACCATTCCCACCAGTCCCCGAAGCAGGATTAGTGCTTTCCTAACATAGTACAAAATCGGCTGGCTAGGTGTGTTAGAGCTCGGTAACCGGTATCCGTACTCGGGGGTTGACAAAAGTCGGACGCACCCCCATCGGGAGGTGTGAAATTCGTATGAAGACTAAACCGGATTCGGAAATTCGAGTGATAGCAAGTGAGAAATTTTTGGTGGCAGAAAAAAGTCGGGCGCACTTCCGAAAGGGGAAGAGGCGATTTCTCCAGCAACTCGCTGGGAAACAGGATTCGTGTAACCGCGCCCGAAATACCCTTACCCCCGAGTACAGTACTTGTACCTCGGTTAACCTACAACACTAAACCTATAGCAGGATGACTGGTAGCCGGAGATAAGGGATTTCACGAGATTATCCCGTAAGTCGTCGAGACACTCAGTCCTTTTTAAACCGTCAAACCCTAACCAATTTTGGTGGTGGGGAGGCGATTTACGCGGGCTCTCTGTCTCCTGTCACGGCTATGCTTAGCCGTATGGATTTCGAGGTATTCTGAGCACTAGGCCAGCCCTGACCCACAGTTTTTCCTGTCACGGTTTCCAAATTAGGTTAGCGTTCCACAATTTTTTTTTTTCAAACCCTTTTTATTCAATTTCTGAGGATGTCTTCGCCTATTCAAGCATAACGTACCCCACGGCGAGTCGAAACACACTGTGATACGAAACAAATGGCAACTGCACCGGCTTTTGCTTACTAAGGGAACTTTTTGGTTAGGCTGTTTCGCGTCACAGTGTGTTTCGGCCCGCCGTGGCCTACGTTAATTACCTCTCGGTAACCAGATAGCGCCCCCAGGGTTCCACATTTTTAAAAATGGACTGAAAGTCGCGATAGCTTATGCGACATCGTACCCTTGCCCTCCCGGACAATTCCTGGAACTCCTCTTTCCACTCTAGTACCCGCCCACTCCCGTCCGCCTTTCTACACCCCGCTAGCCCACCGCCGGTTCTCTGCTTCCCCGACTTTTAGATCCAGAATGCCATCTTTCACCTCGATCCTGACGCCCACACTCTCAAGAAGAGACAGCAGTCGCGGAGCGTTGTTGCGGTCGGTCCGGATGTCGTCTTTATCTGCGGGAGTCGTATCGCACATCTTGTCGGTAACTAGCCACGCTCAGCAATTGTCGTCTTCCGACAGGAGGATGCCGCCCCGTCACTCATCAATACTAGCGCGGCGGGAGTGAATAGGCTGCAGGAGTCGAGGCGGGATTCTAAGGTTGTGACGAGAGGGATAATTGGAGACATCTGAGGCGATTTGTCAACCGGGTGACGATGGGATTTCCAGACGGTTTACGATATTGCAGTCCAGGGATGGTCGGGGTAGGGCGTTGCTATCGCCTTCGTCGCCGAGGTGTTGGACCGGCTGTCGTGGCCGATTTCTGCATGGCAAGGATAGCGAGAGTGGCCTCCTTAACAAGTGCCGTATCGCCCGAGGATAATTCTAATGGACCAAAGTCCTGTGCTTTCTCTTCCAAATATGATAGAGCCCTTCCGTTCTCGGTGCAACAGGTAGATGTTTATTCTATTTTTAGCAAACTGGTTATGTCTCCCAGCACATGTCCTACAAAATAGCCAATTCACGGGGCATCTGGCGGCTGCGTGAGCCACCTCTGCTTAATCCCCCATGTCCTCCCCACATCCATCTTCTCATTCTCCTGAATAGAGCCCGTCTGTGTCCCCCTGTTGATGTATGTATAGTTCCGGCGATTCGTGCCCCGCGCGACTGGTTCCCGAGGCTCGGTACCGTCCGGAAATGGCCGTTTCTGCGGCTGCTTGGTGGGGCGGCCGGACCTGACTGTATCCTCTCCTACGTCCCTCCTAGCCAACATGCTACTAAGGTCAGGTATTACGTTGATCCACAACATGGCAGTGTCAGTTATAGGAAGCTTTTCCAGCAGCGTGTCCTGGTGAGAGTGCAGGTAATTGACGAGCCCAGGGTGCACCCAGGAGCGCTTTCGTCGACGGAGCAGATGCAGACTTTATCGCCATCCTCATCAGCCACGTTTTCTACCGGAGAAGGGGGTTGTTGAACGAATGCACGAACCAAAAACGGACCAGCCCCGACCCACCGGTACAGCGTATTCGCGACTCCCTGTACTCTCACTCTCCTACATCGTCAAAGACGTATTCATTCAGGGGCGGTGGAATAAGTGGAAGTTCCATGATTCTGTGCCTAACCTATCGTGTGTCACAAGGGGAACGACTCCGGGGAATAGGGGAAGAGGGTAACATGCGTCCTTGGCTCCGGCCGTGCAGGAGTTGGTTTCGGTATCTCGCGTTACAGGAGCTAGCTGATGCTAATATACTAGATGTGGATCCAGATAGCTATATCAGTCTTCAGTAGTATAGTGGTTAGTATTCCCGCCTGTCAGTTACCTCTGCGCGCGGGCGACCGGGGTTCAATTCCCCGCTGGAGAGTCTTTTTTTTAATTTTTTTATTGGTTCCAACCCATCTACCTATACTACCGATCCCTAGCCCCGCTCTTAATAACCCACCATAAAAGATCTTGAAATCCACTACCTCCGTGTATTGCGAATGTATTTGGATCGCCACTATCTCTGTAGCAGGCGTTAACCTCTGTTTCACTCACAAGGGGCTTGGTTTTAGAGGTTAACTTAATAACGAATATCAGCTAATGAGATGCAACGCAAATTGAATGCTCTGGCTTTACCGTCCTAGGAAACTAGGGAACCCTGTCAAGGGCTGTTGGCTCAGAATCCGCAGTTTCTAGGGGTACCGGGGAGCGTGGACTCCAAGTGTTTCCATGGCACCTTACTCACAGCGCCGCAAGAACTCGTCCACAGGGTAGCCGTTCGAGCTTTAGCTACTTGCGTCAAATCACACATTGCTGGAATGGGGATTGGCCGGCATCCTCTAGAGCAGAATTCTGAACTCGCTTGGATATATTAGTTGTCTCGGAGACATTCTTGGCCTCAGCTTCGAAAGGAGCAGAAACCTACAAATAGCACATGAAAAATATATCAAAAGCCTGTTACAATCGCCCTCCGCCGCCTACGGTAATATTCGATTTCATAATCCCTTTCGTGGATATCGGCAAGGAATGTACCACCAGGACAAAATCACCGAATGCTTCTAAACCCTCTTTGCCCCCCTTTACTATCAGTATACAGACCTTGCATGGGTCTAAGCTGTCAAAGCCTGGATTGTATCCCCAATGCGAATGACAATCCACCTACCACCTTAAAGTTGATTTGACAAGAATGTTCAGTTCGAAAACAATCTAGAGTGTATCAGCCACACGGCAGCGGAGTCCGTAACCCTCAAACCCCACAACGGCTTTGCCAGCCCCATCACTAGGAACCCTTCTTGGGGTACTGGTATGATAGGAAACATGTAATGATGCATGTCCCCCGGTGTGAGGGCCATGTCTAAGACGCATTTGGAGCGGTGCTTGGTTCCAGACTTATATTACAGTATCATCACCGCGTCTGTTTCTCGACTTTGCCTGTACTTGCGTCACCGTAGGGCACCAATGGGTTAGCTATAGTAATTGGGGTTGTTGGTATGATAGGGATATGTTGGATCGGGTGTGATACCGGCACGCTCATTCTCAGACTTGGCATAAAACGGATTTGGCCACCGAGTACCGGTGTCGGGCCCTTTTCCCCTGACGCTTTAGTTGGATGGTGTGTTGCGCGGGCCGTATCCCACCTCCGTGGTGTAATCGTGACCTCGTGCTAAACCGGACAATAAATCGATGGGGAGATGACTTGACGAGGAATTGCCTAAGTGACCCGATAGGAAAGTGATAAAGACTGAAGCACCTCGACCAATAGAGACAGAAAGGAACCGTTGCGTTATTGACTGATTATCCCCATGCGGTGGTGTCCTGCTACCTAAGGAAAAACATAAAAGGTGGCTTAAACGCAAAATCCGCATGCCAAGCTATCCAATATGACAGGGCTTTTCAGTTCGCCCCACGCGGGCTGCGTGGCTGCTGGGCTGCCCTGTCAGCTACCCTCGCCTCCACCGGTACTGTAGGAACACGACGGTATCATACGATATGATAGGAGGGGATTTCGATGGGCAATGTGGAGCAGGATCTAGGGTTAGGGTTCAGAATTTCAAGCTCGTCAAAATTTAACTAAGGGGGGTCACCCTGGAGTTATCCCTTCGTTCGTTCCCGAGTTTGGATCATTTTTAGTGATTTTAGTGAGTGCGGAATGGGGTCCTCTATTACCTGTTGAGGTGAGGTGGCTGCGACCGTGATCTCCCGGACTGTTAAAATTTTGGAAATGTCGCGACCCCTCGCATCACAATTCAGAGAGTGGGTTACGGCTGTAGTTCTCATGTGTTCTCAGTGTACAGTACTTGTAGCAACGCATCCCGAAGTGGGCACATCTGTGAGCTGTAGCGCTTACTAATGATGACAGGGGTGGAAAGAAATTTTTCATGTTCCCGTAGTCCGGGAGATAGCCTTGTACTTGGGGGTAACTTAGGCAAAAGTCGTGTCCACCTCCATTACAAAGTGTCAGAATTATAGGAAGACTAAACCAGATTAAGAAACTCGAGTGATAGTCCGTGAGAACTTTTGGTGACAGCACAAAAGTCGGGTCCACTTCCGCAAGGAGAAGTGGCGATAGCTGGAGCATGAACGCTGGAAGAGGGCTTGTGTTACCGGACGCGAAATACCGCTACACCCGAGTACAGTACTTGAAAACGAACGAAGAGGATACAAGCATAACCCGCAAAATCCACACTCCCCGTCGGCCCTCGAGGAAGGATCAGCATCGTCCTAATATCCCTTACCTTGTGTTCATGGCCAATGCTAAATGCTGACACTAGCCAGAGGTGGATGCAAGCACCTGACATCGCTTGTGACACAGTGTGCTCCGGGTTACTACTGTAGTTCTCATATGTTCTTGCCGTACCTTCCATACTGAACGCATTCTCGGGTATGCATCATCTGGGAGGAGAGCGAGACAGCCGAGGTGAGTGGCGTCCAGCCCCGGTTACTGGAAAAACAAAGCCGCGGGACCCCCACGTTCTATTCTGGGCGGCCCCAATCGGAACAGTTTGGATTATCGAACTGGCACTCTCAAGTCTCCGGCTGGAAGTCCCACCAATCTTAGTGCGTCACAAGAAAAATAAATGCAGCCTTAATCAGCCGAGATGAATCGTGTTCTCATGTGTCGACTTCTATCGCTACATCAACACTGCCTGTCAGCAGGGATTTGGCTAACGAGTTTGACGCTTTTTGCCCGCTTATTCAAGCGCAGCACTACCGTAGTATCCACCCGCAGCACGACGGGATAACGAGACGAGGGCAGTGACGCGCTGGCGGAAGTATCATAGGTGTGGTCAAACTGCCGCCAAGCCTATCACTGAGAATGCGAATGCTGGTATACACAAGTACTATGAATAAGACATCAACCAATTGTCTTCTCTTCTCTCTAGTTAATCTTCCCTCGGCTGGGGCGACTCTTCCGTACCACCCCTTCTCATAATCTATTGGTTGCAACCCTGAAAGGCTATTTTCCCGAAAACTATGTCTAATAATTTAGGATCCTCCTCGATAGCACTCTCAGCCAATCCCTGCTCTGTGTTGGGCTGCTTAATGTTCACATTTGGTTTAGCAATTAGTTCTACTAGGGTTTTACGGGGTTTCTGGAGGTGGCTGCCGTGAAAAGCTTATCTGGGGGAGCAAATGGCCCAGAAGTATATATGGGGGATCTCTCTTCCCTCTCTTTTCTAAATGGAGCATCGAGAATTGAACCTTGGATGCGGGTGGACGAGCGACCGTGGACGAACCAGGGGGACTACGGTATATCAGCGGACGAAGCTTTGGTGAAGAGCAGCCAAAGAACCGTGCTGCTATTGTCGAATCCGACATGCCGAACCATTTGCTTTTCTGTTCTTATCTTGTTCAATTATTTTAACCCGCCTCCCCCCTTTCCATACTCATTTCGCCTCACTAATACTCACTCTCTGGGTAGATTAAACCCCAAAAGTCCCGGGGGGCAGCCATGTATACCTTCCTGAGGTTACCATTATATATTGGAGTGACATTTAACATGACCCTTTGTGGTGTAGTTGGTATCACACCCGGCTGTAATATTCAGATCACCGGTTGGTCACCAGTTCGACTCTGGTCGAAGGGACTTATTTTTTCTTTCATTTTTTCAATCTTGGATTCACATTCCCCCCAGACGGTTCCAGGAGTACTTTACCGGCAGTACAGCAACATATTGAGCACCATTCCTTCTCAGTTGGCTTGGGGGAGTATTTCCTAGCATTACAAGAATCTTGCAAAGGATTTGCTTCGCCAGAACTAATGGGATATTCAACCTGTCTGACTTGGGTAGGCCTTGTTCCTGTGGGAAAGAACACGGGGAGGGTCACTTGCACATGGGCATAGAGGGTATCACGACGGCCAAATTACCATAGCGGAGGTTGCAAAAAAATGGCATATCCTGGTCTTCTTTGGTCTCCTGTAGCCCACACAGTCCCTGACTTAGCCTGGTACCCAGCCGCGTGAGACTCAGACTGTAAATCCTATTGCGAATCACCGGTTCTCCGGGTAACACTCATAGCATTATATCCTATTTAGATTGAGGCATATTGGGGAAGTCTTCGGAGTTAGTATTGATTTCCTATTTGTAATGCTTATGAGTCGTTGATTTGTAAGTTGGGTGGAAGGCTCTGGAGATTCTCAAATGTCAATGGACTATAGAGTAAGCTTGGTAGGGAAGGAAATGTGTAGTACGTGGTGGTAAGGGCAACAGAGATTGGACGACAAAGCGGGATAAAGAGAAGTTAAGAGAAGGTCAGAGAATGTCCAGAATGAGGGGTAAAAGCGAGGTTGTCTAGGTCGTGTTTGGAGGGGTTCTGGGGTTTGTTTACTTTTGTCAAGGTATATAAGGGTGCAGGTTTGCCGGGGAAGGGATGGTATATAGAAACAGACATTTTATCATAGAAAACGGAATACGAAATATCGGTACCGGCGAGAACCAGAATCATCAAGTTCGCAGAAAGAGGAACGACAGGGTACAAATTACAACAAAATCTTGCCCCTTGCGTTTTCCCAACGATTTGCTGTCCTGGCTGCGCTAGATCTAACTTTGTCAGTCATGCGTGCTGGGTGGAGAATACTGGTTCAAATGGCTATATAGCCCGACCATTTTTATTGAGACATGGGGCAGGAGGGGCGTTTGAGGAGAAGTCCACCGAAGGGTGTATGCAACCCAAGTCCGAAATGAAAGGAAGGGGGACTAATGTGGCACAATTGATTGCTCAGGAATATGAAAACGAGATTTAAGCTCCTGGTCGTTCTCGATAATGCTCCCATTTTCTTTGAAGGTGGAATCGGCTGTGCTTTATAGTTCATACATCCCGGTTTCAATTCCTGCCCCACATGGCTGGGATGAATTTGTACTAAGTCAGTGGCTAGATCTTT